AGAGGAAAAGACTTCTCCAAAGTGTCCCCGCCATGAAGTGAACTGATAGCCAAGACAACAACCAACATCTCAGAGCTGGGTGGTATGAAACCATCCTGCTACTCTTTGTGGACAGCAATGTCCCACCACCCACTCCCCACCAGGCAGGCCCTTGGGCACAGCTTCCAGGCTAAGCTGCAGGTTCTCCTCCACAATGTGTGTGGGCTGCCTGAGGTGCTGCATCCCCAACAAGCTCCCGGGCCTGCCCAGTGCCTCTGGTCCATGAACCAGGCTCTGAGGACTGAAGCTCCAGAGGCCAAAGGAGCAGGCAAAGGCAGAACCTCCTGGAGTAAATGCAGAGACCCCACCCTGGCAGCTGAATCCACAGTCAGCTTCCACTTGGATTCTCTTTGCTCCCTAGTCCCAGCCTCTTGCCCTTTTGGGAGGAGACAGATTCCCCCATTCCAAACTTGAGGGTCTAATGGCACCCAAAGCTGTGACCTGGGTAAAAGGTGAAACCTGGACCTTGGAGTCCCCTTCCCTGCACAGCATGATCTTCAAATATCCTTTAGATAGAGCAGAGACCCGATGAAGGCTTTTCTCCATCATCTGAGGCCCAGCATCTCAGAACAGGAAGGAGATTGCTCTCCTCAGTGTAAAAAAAAGGAACTAGAGCCAAGGGATGGATTTGCTGGGTCCTGTTCATGTGTGGCTTTTAACACACTTTGTCTGGACCATGCATATCCCCAAGTTCATGCTGGATTGCTCAGGTAGGAAGGGCCTTGATGTCCTTGTTCAAGAATCTGTTTTCCCAACTGAAGTAAACGGGCAAAAAATAACCTGCCCAAGGCCACAAAGTCAATACTGCTTCCATGTTTCTGGGCTTCCAGCCTGGGCCTAAAGGTCTCCCAAGAAGTCACACTACCTCCCAGACTTGTAGGACTGGAGGACAATCTGCAGACCCAGCCCAGCAGCCAGGCAAAAAGGACCGCTGGCCACAGGCCATCTTGGGTCACCTGACTTCCCCCCCACCCCAAGCTGCTTGCATTGCAGAATGCCTGTTTAATGTTTTATTCCTCCTACTGTTTCATTATTGATTCAGGCTCTCGCTGCTGGGTCTGACCAAGTAAGCCGTGAGCGTTTGTGTAATGTCAACTTCATCAAAAATGCAGGAGTTCATGTTTTACTCGTCTGCGCACTGCCTAGACAGTTTAAGTCGATGGTTGGTGGTTTCTGTGAGCCAAGGAGGGCACTGGCAGCCACGGGCTGGCTTCTGGCTTCTCTGAAGTGATCCTGTGGCTCTGAGGCTCTGGGGGACCCAGGACCCCTATGTCAGGGAGAAGACAAAGACTGGGAGGGACAGAGTGACCGAGGAGCACAACAGGTGGGGAGCAGCTTGTTAGAACAAGCACCAGCCGCAAAGTTAGGAAGAAACTCACAGTGCGTTATTATGCTGCCGTTGAATATTACAGATGAAAATCTACTGGAGATAAAGGAATGTTTGTTTATTCATCCATATGTTCAAACAACATTTACTAAGCACCTGTAATGTGCTAACAAAATCAACATTTTGGTGCCCATGGAGATGAAATTCTATTTGAGAAATAAAATAAGGCTATAAAATGGAAAAATAATAAATAATAATAGTAAAAGAATCTATTGAGTACTTACTGTGTACTAGGTACTTTTTTTTTCTTTTCTTTTTCTTTCTTTCTTGTTTGTTTGAGGCAGAATTTCACTATGTCACCCAGGCTGACCTCAAACTCCAGGGCTCAAGCGATCCTCCTGCTTCAGCCTCCTGAGTAGCTGGAATTACAAACATGCACCTTTACAGTCAGCTTGTATACTTGGTACTATTCTAAGCATGTCACATAGACAATGTTTCCATTTTGGGGAGTTTATTTTTTCAACCTATGTGTATCTCTGCTCGTAGGAAAAAAGACAGGAAAGAAAAATACATTAGCAGACATCATCCCCAGATTGTAAATTTAGGGAGAGCTTTTATTTTCTTCTTTTTGCTACCCTGGATTATCTATATTTTCTTTCTGTCTAGTGCAACAAGGAATGGAAAATGGCATGTGCTTATGTTCCACTCTCAAAGAAATCAGGCAGAGAGCTGCAAAATGCTTCTCACTTGCAGGCCTGCTCCAGCCACTGTGGCTTCTGTCCCGTCTGGGAGATTCACTGCCTCTTCCTCCCTGGAGAATCAAGTTGCCACAGAAGCCTGAGGCTGTGGCCCAGCACCATTTGGCTTGTGGTCAGGGCTGAGGGAGAGCAGACGAATCTGAAGACTGAAACTTTGGAAAGGAAACCTTGCACGCAGTGTCCCTGATGGCTGTCAGGAGCCACCCTCCTTCTGGCCAGGTGTGCGGACGCCACAGTCCAGCCTTCCCCTGCTATGAAACTCCAGTGTGATGCTGGCCCTGCCCCCAGGGAAATGGAGGGCCACAGCCCATCCATGGAGAGTCTTCATCCCCTGAGGGCCCTCCTGGGCTGTACACTGGCTCTGAGGACCCTCCTGGGGCATAGTAGATGGCCTAGCCAGGGTGCTGACAGTAAAACAACAAGAAATTTACACCTGGGGAGCTTAGATTCTGAGGCCTGACACTGAACACTTCACATTTCTTAATTCATTTAATCTTTACTGTCATCATTATTATTTTATTTGAAAGGAAACAGGCCCAGAAAGGTCAAGTCACTTGCCCAAAGCCACATAGCCAGGGAGTGTCAGGCTGGCAGGCTGATCCCAGATCCCACACCCTAAATACTGCTACACTGTCTCCCACTCTGTAGCTGGGATCTCTGGCAGCACTGCCTTAGAAGATTCACCCAGCTGCCAGGACTAGACTCAGAAGGGTACAGCAGCTCCGGGCACTGGAGAAGCAGCAGCACACTGAACAAAGGGACCAGGCGGGGTCTCAGCCAGTTCTAGCTTTGAGGTCTGGTGGCCACCTACTCACTGTGTGGCTGTGGACCAGTCTTTTGATCTCTCTGGACTCGGTTCTCTCATCTCTGTGGTGGAAATACAATGCCTGACTTCATGGATCACAGAAGTCATTTTTTAAACAATTGGCAGTGTTAATGGAACACTTGCTAAGTGTGCCAGATGGGGCCAAGCATATCACACGCATTGTTCAATCCTTTAACACCCTAGGACAGTGATGGTGAACCTTTTAGAGCTTCCAGTGACACAAACAGCCTGCTTCGGCACGCATACCATAGATTCACCATCAGCTCCCTAGGACATCATGGCCATCACCTTACAGATGGAGAAACGAGGCTTAAATAGTTAAAATGACTTTCTAAAGCTACAAGAAAACAGCAAAGCCAAAATTTGAACCCATGTCCTATAAGTGTCTACCTGCCATATGTGCCACATCTGTATCAAACAATGACGCCTATCAGAGGCTGGCACCGTGCCCTCCTCACACAAGCCCTCAGGTCCCCAGGGCCATCATCACTGTCGCTATGGTGAAGAGAGAAAGAATGTCTGCACCCAGCATGGCCTGGCACACTGGGAGCCTCTGACAGCCACGTGTGTCACTGACTATTACTGTCTCGGGTCACTTGCAGCAGCCAATACCTCCTTCCCGCTCTGCTCAGCCTAGAGAGGCCCCAAGGAAAGTAAGGTCTCTCTTCCCCAGGACTCCACAGCATGCTTGGGAAGTGACTAAGACAGCCAGGCAGTGAGGACAGGCGGAGGCCCGCAGGCTCCCACCGGCCCTCACACACCTCCTGTCCTGCTCGTGACCAGCACAGGGGACCACTTCGCCATTCGGCTCACGTGCAGCTTCACCAGTCTTTCCAGGGCCCAGGCTACCCACAGCAAAGTCACTCTCATACCAGCATTGCCAGCCACTACATCCACCACCCGGGACAGAAGCAGAGCCTTAGCCATCTCTAGATCCAGGGCACCAACTTTGTTAGAAGTGTGAGTCTCTGCTTTCCATCCATCCTAAATTGACCCTAGGTTTGAAGGCCAGTTGCTCCTCTGTGTGCCCCAAGGGCCTCAGTAGCTCCTGTGTGATTCTGGATGGACTAGAGCCACTGTCAAGTTCTCCCAGCCCCCAGGCCTGTGTGAAATACAGACTTGTTACAATTGGAAGGGACCCTACCAAGCTCCCATTGTGATCCACCTACTTTACAGATGAGCAGGGCTCTCAGAGAGGTGACTTGCCCAAGGTCACATAGCCAGTAAAGTACATCAAGGGATGAGAACTCTTATCTCTCGGCACGCTACTCAGTGCTTCTTCTGCTGCCCACCTGCTTCCTAGGCACCCAAGAAATGTCACCTGATAAGTGATGACTCCAGACTCAGGAGTCCAGGTGGTCTTGGCCTTGACCCTGAATCCTGAATCCCTGAATCCTGTCCTACACAGAGGGACTCCTGGGAGATACTATTGCACAAAGCAGATGGGCAGCTTCCCACATCTCTCACCCCCACTGCAGGATAGAGTGAGATGCAATGCATTCAAACATGGCTCAAGTTGTGACCCTGTCATCTTGTGGTGGTCCCATCCCTGCTGTGAGCCCCAGTGCATCTGAACGATGGGGATGATCCCTTCTGTGTAGACTTTGGGGGAAGAACATAGAAGGGAAATAATATGTAAAGTGTCAAGCACAGGGCCAGGCTCAGGAGATGGAAAACAGACGCCATCAAATCTAAGGCAACGTCAATCATTAAACTCACCATGAACTGATATACCACCAAGAATGGAAAATGCCACAGGACACACTATGACTTGAAGTTTCCTGATCACTTAGAATTGTGATTTCATGTTTCGAGAAAGCTTATTCATCTTCAGATTTAATCATCCATCACTCATGTGTGCATAAAAAGTTAAAATAAAGAACAGAAATTGGTTAAAGTCTCCCTAAATCATCTTCACATTCATTCCCTTTAACTTGGAGCCATTGAAATTCACATCTTACCATGACACTGTCATCTTCCCTTCAAGAGTGCTGCGATGGACTACTTCAGCCTAATGGATTGGTTGAGAAGCTTGGAAAGAGGAGGGGAAATGTGGGCTGAGCTGAGCTGCAACCATTCCTTCAGAATTGATACCACAAAGCTCCAGCATAGGTACCAGCAACTACAGCGTCTTGTCCATCCAGATTTCTTCAGCCAGAGGTCTCAGATCGAAAAGGAATTATCAGAGAAGCATTCAACCTTGGTGAATGATGCCTATAAGACTGTTCTGGCCCCCCTGAGCAGGGGACTATACCTACTAAGGCTCCATGGAATAGAGATTCCTGAAGGGACAGATTATGAAATGGACAATCAGTTCCTCATGGAAATAATGGAAATTAATGAAAAACTTGCAGAAGCTCAAAATGAAGCTGCCATAGAAGAGATTGAATCCACTGTCAGAGCTAAGCAGAATGAATTTACTGAACATGTGAGCAAACCTTTTGAACAAGATGACTTTGAAAAAGCCAAGGAAATTTTAACAAAGATGAGATACTTTTCAAATGTAGAAGAAAAGATCAAGTTAAAGAAGACCCCCCTCTAATTAACTGCTAAAGTATTAAAAGTAAAGTGTCCCCCGCAAATACAACAAAAACAAAACAAAAAATAAAAAAGTTCCAAAAAAAAAAAAAAAGAGTGCTGTGATGGGGCGTTTTCAAGAGAACACATGGCAGAAGTAAAAGCCAGGGGTGCTGGGAGCTCACCCTGCCTTGTCATCCTGTGGCACCAGCTCACCTGTGGCTCCCGTGTGGGTGATGACACTAAACATATCGGTTTCACCATTCAGATACTAAAGCTCAGAGAGGTAAAAAAAAAATCTGCTCAAGGTCACAGAGCTAGCCAGTGACAAATCCAGGGTCTGAACTAAATCTCTTTGATCTTATCACTGCAGAAAAGATGGACCCTTTCCTGGATACTTCTGGTGAACTGACTTCTGAATCCAACAACAACAACAATAATAGTAGTACTCCATGCAGGGTACTGTTCTAGCCACTACCTATGTCTTAGCACTTACAATATTCCCAACTGTAGGTTCTATCATTTGCCCATTTCACAGATGAGGAAACTGAGCACAGAAAGGTAATGCCACCTTCTCAGGATCACACAGCCAGGAAGAGAGGGCTAGGACTCAAAGGCAGGCAATTTGGCTCCAAACCTCCTTCTTTTTTCTCTAACCCACTCCACCCATCTCAACAAGTGGGCACAGGCAGCCTCAGGCCATTCCAAGTTTCTTATTGACTTTAGAGGTGGCCCAGCTTCTCTCCTGCTGGGAGTGGGATCCAGGCTCTCAGGCTCAGTCAGATGGATGACCTTCCCCTGGCAAGCCTAGCTTCCAGCTTTCTTCAAGCTGGACCCAAACACAACACAATCTAGAGGGCCTGGCTGCTCTTCAGAAAAAAAACAACAACGGAAAAAAAACCAGTAAGGCGGGTGTGGAATGAAATCTAATTAGAATCCCTCTGAGCCCCAGCTCTTCCTCTTATTAAATAGCCCCCTTTGATGTGAAACTCGACTCATTAGAATAATTTGAATGCCAACAAATTGTCTTGGTCCTGATCTCAGAGAAATGGCTTTCACAATTGCATTTACCCCTGTCCTAGTCTCTTCCCACTGGGACAAAGGACATGGCCATGCCAAATTGGGGAAGGTCTCGGGAGCCACTTCCCTGGGGCTGGTGCTGCCGAGATGAAGTAATGGGGAGCCACAGCAGTGTGGGGAGGGGGATGCTCAGGTTTCCTACCATGGCACCCCATGGGCCCAAATCAGAGGCCATACCAGGATGAAGATGTGGTGGAGAAACTCAGCAAGGCCAGGCCAAATGCTACAAATGAATCAAATCGCCCAGAAAAGGGACCCCCAAACACAGACCCTGTGAGCCACTTCAGAGTTACCCGGGTGCGGCTGCGGAGCCCAGGGTCTCACCAGAGTCGGGATTTTCCAGTCTGCCAAGGGTCCTAGAATCTATAGTCTTCAAAGCTCCCGGAGTGATTTTGAGGCATAGTCAAGTTTGAGCCCCTCAGGCCTGGAGAGACTGGGGGCCTTGCTTGGGACCATGATCTCATGTCCACCCCACACCCCCTGAATCTCTGAAGTGGGGCACCAGGCAAAATAATATTGAATTCTGTTGCCAAAGGGGATTCAAGCCCCACAAGGAGAGCAGGATGCTGCAGGGTCAGCTCTGGTGACTGCAGCCCTTTGGTTCCCTGGAGTGGAAGAGATCAGTCTCCTGCCTGCCACTGAGCTGCTTCCACACACCTCTGATCTGGGGTCTGGGGGCAACTTCATGCCCTAGGTACTGAGGACATAAAGGTAACGTTGCCCTGAGAATCTGAAGAGGAAAGTGGTTTGGGGATCATGGCATCTGCCCACCCTTCCTGACCTCATCCCTGAAAAGCCTTTGCCAAGCCTCACAGGTCCCTCAGCCTCCAGGCCCCATTCAAACAGGCTCCTGATCCCCGCTGTCTCTCTCTCCCCAGGTTACTGGTGTGGTGAGGACTCCCGACAGCGATTTAATTCTCTTTTGTACACCAGGTACAGTGAATGGCTTTTGGTTCCCCAGGCCAGGCCAGGCTCATGATCAGAGTCTGACTGTCATCCTCAAAGCCCAGGGCTCAGGGAGATGAAGAGCCCTGAGGCCCAGCCAGGATCATGAAGCCCGAAGTCTCCCCTCCTGACCTCAACATACCCAGAAGGTCAGGCCCTTGACCCACTGACATGTGAGATAACCTTGGGCACCCTTTCTCCGGAACACTGTCTTGCCCCACCCCGACCCTTCCAGAGCCTCCGCTGGCCCTGCTTCTGCAGAGGAAGGAGTTATGGAGCCCAGACAGACCCCGAGAGGGGGCCGGCTGCATCTCTGTGAACTGGTAGGTCTTAAGAGATCTGTGGTCAGAAAACTGCCCTGGTCTCAGTGGTCCTCTTTACTCAGCAGGGCTTCTCTAAGGTGTCTCCAGGTCACATTCCCTGGCCTTCCTGACCAAGGACAAGGCTCATAGCCGGGGGTGGGCTGAGCCACCAGCAGCAATCTTTTTCCAGTGGCTTTTTAATCCCTTACCTCCCCCTTTCCAAGATCCTAAAAAGAAGAACATATCCAAGTACCTGATTCCCAGAACATGTTTCTTACCAATGCCATTAACCTAACTGAAATGGAGTAAGTCTAAGCCTTGCATTAGCTTGCAAAGAAGGCTCCTGCTGCGACATTCCAGATGATTTCAAAGCCTGGCAAACCCAACGGCTTGCAGCACAACAACCACAGGGCGCAACCTCTCAGACTGCTCTGCTTACCTCTTCCAGCTACTCATTCGTACTCAGTCAATATCTATCCATACTGTGCTGTTCTGTGGGACACAGCACTTCAACGCCAGAGATTCAAGATCTGGAACTGCATTTCCAGTCTTCTGTATCCCTTCCATTGGGCTTTTTCTGTAGGGTCCCCAAAACATGCACGTTATTTGTGACCCCCTCATCCTTGCCACAATCCTACAGGCGATATCCTAGGAGATCACCTAGACCTGGGGCCAAGTGCCAGCTCTCCCACTTTGTGACTTTGGCTAAATCCTATCATCCCTAAGCCTCAGTTTCAGAGTCTATAAAATGGGAATGATGATGCCAGCAGATCTTGTCAGCATTCACTGGGATCTGGATATGGGAGGCTTCTGCACTCTGGGCCCTTTTTGTCCAACATCGCTGCAGAGTTCAGCCTGTAGGGTGAGTTTGGAAACAAAGGCTTAGGCTGGGGGCTCAGAGAAGATCACAGCCACTTATCATGGCAAGAAGATGCACAAGGAGCCAGGTGACAGGGAGAATCTGCTGGCTCCTGCCAACCTCCTTATTGACACAAAAACATAAAGGAGCATTAGAAAAGAAAACCCAGGAGTAGAGAGAGAGGAGCCTCCAAATCTGAGGAAGGGGCTGGCATACCATACCCATGGGCCACCTCCCTGTCCCCTAAGTTGGGGAGCACCCAGAGCTGGCCCCATTCAGGACAGAGAAGGCTGGTGACATGGAGCACTTGGCTCTGCTGCCAGTGACAACCAGCCCCAGGGACAGCAGAGGGTTCCAAATTCCTGGCCTCCAATTTTGCTTCGGAACATTCTCTGGCCAAAACAAACGTGGGGACCCCATGGCGGAGTCTTGGCACAGGAAAGAAGTCTGAGATGTCATCCAGTGTGACCTAGGCCTTCCAGGCAAAGCCACTCCAAAGCCATTCCCGACAGATGCTAATTAGATGAGCAGTTTTAAATTAAATAATGGGGATGGGCAGGGCAAAGGATGCCAAGGATAATTGGAACAGAAATGCTGTCCAGAGAAAATAGTGCTAAAGACCAGAATTACTGAAGTGCACACCAAGGAAGCCGGGACACAGATCGAGACTTGTTTCTACCCCAGGATCTGAGAGTGGGAAATAGCTCTGGATCCTCACACAGCTAGGTGAGGTCTGCGGCCTGGTCCCCTCCATCTCCCAGCTGGTGGCTGGTCCCTCTTGCTGTGCAGCCAACTGTAGGCCTGACCCTAGGGGCTACCTCTCCAGCTCCACCTCCCTCCTTACCTACCCTTCCCTCTAATGCATGAAGAGCGGCTCTCCAGTCTTGGGATTCACCGTTTTCCTCTCCCTCCCTTTATAGCTGCTGTTCCCTGCATCCAGAACACTGTTCCCTCATGATTCCCACCCCATCCTGTTACTAATTCCTGCACTTCCAGGAGGTCTGGACTTCAGACACTTACCACTTCAGCCACTTACCACCCCAAAAGGGCCTGGGGGGTTCCCTGTATCCCACTCCAGCTCAGAGCTTGTCAAAGCTGCATGCCGCTTGGCCATCCTGTCTCAGCTGCATCTCCCAGACTGCCCACTGAGCAGTGGACACTTTATACAAACTTGGCAGATAAAAGAGGAGGTGAGCAGTAAACTGTCACAGCATGGCTCCCTGTTTCCATTTTTGAGGCTGAAAATAATGAGAAGTGGGTATCTAATGAGCCCTTAAGGACTTTAAATAGTAATCAAATAGACATTAATGAAGTGAGTCTGAAGTGCTGCCCACTGCACTAAGGGCAGGAGGTTCTGGCGTTAGCCTTTCTCAGGTATAAGGAAACACAGGTCAGAGAGGTTGAGTAACTTGCCTGAGATCACGGAGCCTTAGTTTGAGTGTGGGCCTGGCTGCTCCCCAGTGTCCCAGCAGCAGCCAGTGCCAGTCTGTCTCTAGAAACCCCCTCATGTCTAACTCTAACCCATACCTGTGCCAAGTCAGCTCATTTCTTCTTCTCATATCTCAAACCCACATGGGTCTTAGGGATACTTGTATCAACCCCTGTCACTGAGCTGGAGGTCAGCAGAGCCCTGGGGACACAGAACTCTCCATGGACAGAAGGCAGGAAGAATGGCTGCTGGCCCAAAGGGGGCTTGGGTCCCTGGGTCCAAAGATGCCATCAGGCCTTTGCTGCCACAGGCCTCACATCAGCAAAGCAGAAGTCACAGGGCCAGGGCCAGAGCCAGCAGCAAGCAGACCGTCACCCTAGGTGAGTGTCCTCCTGTTCTTCCTCCTGACTCCACACTGGTGACCTCACATTGCTGGCACCTGTGCAGCAGTCCTTGCGATGCCTCAGGGGCCTCCGGTGTAAAATGTTCACTTTTTCTTTTTTTTTTTTTGTGCCAGGGATCGAACTCAGGACCTTGAGCTTGCGAGGCAGGCGCCAGAACCACTGAGCTAAATCCCCGGGCCTCTCCGGTGTAAAATGAAGATGTGAACAGCAGTCACTGATAGGGCATGGGAGGGACTGTGTGTAACACATTCATGTTCAGAGGAATATGGAGTCTGTGTACGTGTGTGCATGTGTGCCTTTAGAACAGTTTCCAACAAGTAGTAAGTGCTTCACAAATATTGCCTGCTCTGATTACACTCAGTGTGATCATAACAATCTGCAAGGGAGGGGTAGCGAAATGATGAGATAATCAGTACCTTCTACAAAACTAAGTTGAGGTTCCCCCAAACTGCTCCATAAAACAGCCTCCAGGGAAGCTTCCGGGGGTGTTTGTTAGGGTCCCTAGGTCCTACCCAGACCTACAGATTTGGGGCTCTGAGATGGAACTCAATTAATCTTTCAACCTGGCTGCAGGTTGGGCCCCGTGGGCCAGTCCAGAGGTTTCCCCAGCAAATGAGGGTTTGGAATTTGCTGTGATTCCCAAGGGGGAAGCAAATTCAGGGGCTGCTTGGGAAGGACATGCTTCTGGCCTTTTCTGCCTTCCCTTCTTCCTTCCTTCCTTCCCTCTTTCCCTCCTCCTTCCTTCTTCTCTTCCTCCCTTCCTTTTTTCAGCAGCATCTTGAGCTTCCTCTTGCAGCTCCTTCTCCAGGAAGCACCCCCTCCTGCCCCTAAGCACCCTGAATATACTGTCTTATTCTTCACCCATGAAATGTCCTTGACCAGGTGTCTTATACAAATAAAGGTTTCCTACAGATGTGACTTGCACACATGTGATTGCAGGAGCCATCTCTGATCTACCAGAAATATGCCTTAGAGACCGTGTTTTCCAAGCTATCTCCTTACAGCTGAAGAAACTCTGGCTCAGAAAGGGTAAGGGATTTGTCCAAGATCACACAGCAAATAACCAGAGTGGAGGCTGCAGCTCGAGTCTCTGACTTCTTAGCTGCTGACCTTTCCATTATAGCAGGATCCTGTTCCAAATGCCCTGGAACCACTCATTTATACATCACTTGTATGAGTTACAAAATTATTTATTGGCTACTCTACATGCCAGGCTCAGGGCTAACTGCGTCACATGTGTTCTCCCATTTAAGCTCCTTGAACAGTGCTCCACTGAGGGCATGATTATCCTCATTTCATCTCTGGAAACTTCAGAGAGGCAAAGTGACCTGCTCAAAACCACACAGCTGGAAAGAGCCAGAATTGCATCCAGGCCTCCGAGATTCCAGAGCCTAGAGACTTAGTTGCTGTGTCACCACCGCTGCGCTCTTGTCCCTCATCCCTCCCTTCCCTTCTGTACCTGCCTCTGCCTTGCTCACCACCCTGGACTGGGCCCTGTCTCTTGGGGAGATTTGCAAGTTGCAAGCTCCTTCCTGCTTTCCCCCTGTGTGATGGTTAATCTTGGCTGTCAACTTGACTGGCTTGAGAGATGTCTAGGAGATTAGTGAAGCACGGTTTGGGGTGGGCCTGGATGGCTCATGGCAGTGTGACCCTGGGGACTATATCTGCTCCCCAGCCCCTTCCTCTCTGGCGCTTCCCCTGTGCTGCTCTTCTTCCTGTCTGCAGTGAGGTGAGCAGCTTTCCCCCATCAGGCCCCACACAGAGCCCAGCATGGGCTCCATTACACCTTTCCCCTGAAGGCGTGGGGCCTGCGCCCACAGGGCCTCTCTCTGAGCCCCCAAACACCAACCCCCACAGGGTCTGTGTTCTGGCTCCTCAGGAAAGCCTCGAAATTTCTAAGTCTCAACCATTCCCACCTCTTCCTCTCTGTCCCCCATCTCTGTGACTCCTCAGCCTTCTATTTTTTACCCTTTCAGTGACTCAATGAACAACTTGACACTGAGTTCACAGTTCCTTCTATTAAATTCTGTCTTCTTCACACTGGCAGCAGCAGGGTCTTCTTGGACCAACAAGTGAGTCCAGTTTGCAGATTGTCCAACCATCACAGTACAGACCCATCCCCCCACCTGGCACCCAGCCAGCCAGCACTTCCTCCTCAGAGGTCTGGGTCCCAGTCTCCAGGGGCGCCAGCATCAGCCATGTGCAACTGAGGGACACAACCATTATGTGCATAGCATAGCTTAGGTCACGAGAGAGGTTGCCAATACCAGAAAGAGCTGTGTTAATGGGCAGAGGGTTTGATCCCAAGGCATCAGTCTGACTTAAGCAGGCCGAGAAGAAAGCTCGGCCCTCAGTGTGAGAAGGGAACTAAGTCCAATGGGGTGACCAAGCCTGGGGTAAGACCAGCACCACCCACCAACACCGCCTGGGACTTCACCCAAGGGGACACACAAATACAAATCACACCTGAAAAGCAATGCCTAATACCACTTCAACCATAAGGAAATGTTACCGTGTGCCTTTCAGAATGGCTAGCATCAAAAATAGTGACAAGAAATGTGAATACAGAGGATACAGAGAAACAGAATCATTCAGATATTGCTGGTGGGAAGGTAAAATGGTGCATCTGCTGAGGTTTTGTTAAGAATTAAACATGGTCCAGCACTTTGGGAGGATGAGGCAAGAGGATCACCACAAGTTCAAAGCCAGCCTGGGCCACATAGTAAGATCAAGGCCAGCCTGTGATATATAGAGAGACCCTGTCTTAAAAAACAAAAACAAAAACAAAAAAAAAGAACTAAACATAAGACTATCATATGACCCAGTAATTGTATTCCTGGGCATTTATCCCACAGAAGTGAAAATGTATGTTCACACACAAAAAAGATTGTAAAGGATAATTACAGCTATTTTATTTGTAATAGACAAAAAACTGGAAACCATACAGATGTCTATCCATGGGCAAATGGCTTAAAAACCTGTGGTGTATCCATACAATGGAATACAACTTAGCAACTAAAAAAAAGCAAACTATTGAAACACAGAATAGCCTGATTTAATCTCCAAAGAATTACTTATATGGTCAATGAAACAAGTCAATCTCAAAAGTTCAAATACTGCATGATGCAGGACCAGGGACATAGCTCAAGGACAGAGCAGTTGAGTAGCATACAAGAGGCCCACCTTGGGTTCAGTTCCCAGCACTACAAAATAATTACAATGTTGTGTAATATTCTTGCAGTGACAAAACTAGAAATAGAAATGGAGACAGACCCCAGGTTGCCAGGGGTTAAAGAGGGAATGGGGGGCAGGAGAAAATTGGGGTGACTTGAGACCAAGGGACCTTTGTGCACTTGAGATTGCTCTGCATCTTGACTGTGTTGTTGTCAGTTATCCTAGTTGTGATGCTGCACTGTAGTTGTGGAAGAGTTACCATAGGAGAAAATCAGGTTAAAGGGGACATAAGATCTCTGCATTACTTCTTACAACTGCACATGAATCTATAATTATCCCAAAATTAAAATTTTGATTTATAAAAAACAAAAGCCACTGAGAGCCATTTTCAAAACGCTCACCCAGGTAGGGAGACCAAGTCAGTAGGTCTGGGGTGGGATTTGGATATAGTATCTTTTGGAAGTCTCCCCAAGAGTTGAAAACCACACAATTAAATTATTTCTCAAGTTCTTTTGCCTAAACATTAGACTTTTTATGTGAAAATATGTCAAAATCCAGACATCTCATGGATTCAAGCTGGAACTACTCCCCCCACCCCGCACCCCCAAAGGGAGAAGAAACTCTCAAAGATGGAATCAGGACACCAGAGAGGTGGCAGGGAGGTGGCAGCTCTCAGTTGTAGTCCAGGGCCATCAGCCAAGAGACGCAGTGAAGCAGAGCTGAAGGCCAAATTGGCCCCAGGCGGGTCACAATTGGCTCTCTGCTGGCTCTGCCTTCCACAGCAAGTCCCAACTGGGCAGCCCCCTGTGAGATCTGGGCAGCAAGGGTTCCAATTAGGACCAGGAAGCTTTCTAGCATGTGGGTGGAAAGGAACACAATCCATGAATCGGAATTGGCTGCCACAATCACCCCCATCAAGCGTTCTCAGCCTGCTTTTGAGGGTGATAAATGGAGCACACAGCATACAGATAGGACCCCTGATTACATGGGTCGGAAGTCTCTGGAGCACAAACAAGGGTGGCAAATGTATTGGGAAGGCAAGTGGCCAGTGTATCCCTGGGTTCTCTAAGGAACTGCATGTATGTAACTGGATAGTGTGAGGTTCTTTCCCCTTCTCTCCTCTTAATTAGCCCACTAATTAACGTCTTCTCCATGCTAATGAATCACTGCTCCCTCCTCCTGCACCCTCCCTGGGCTCGGGCCTCCAGACAGGCTCCTTTGCCATCTGGAGCAGAGAGCTGTGAACTTGTGATCCAGAGCCAGTTAACTTCACACCTAATGTGCCGTGCAGTGTTCTAGGCAACTTCTGGAGCCAGAGCAGGGAGGTAGGTGGGCCCCAGGAGTTCAAGGTCTGGAAAGCCAAGTGCCAAACTGAGGGAAGGTCCAGTTTCTCCTCCCGGGAGGGATGGCTGCATCACAGCAGCAGCCCGACCACAGGCACTGCCTCAGCTGTGCCTATTTCCTTCATTCTGCCTGTTCAGCAGCAAGCGCCACTGCAGGCCACCATGTAAACACAATCTTCAGGAGGCCTGGGCATAGGCCTCTTCACATGCCATGGGCTGGCTGTGCCTCTGAGGCTGCCCGAGGTCCTGTCCCTGCAGAACCTCCTCACAGAGCCATGGGAGCCATAGGTGAGGCACCGCATTGGACCTGGGAACACAGCGGGTGCTCCGTGAGTGACAGCCGCAGGGGAGAAGGAGAAGTCCATGCCCAAACCCCAAGAATCCCACAGCCTCTGAATAGGAGCTTGGATTCTTGTGTAGCTCAGTTCTTCTCTGCTCAGACCTCCATCGTTTTGTTTTTTGTTTTTTGTTTTGGTACCGGGGATTGAACTCAGGCCCTTGCTCTTGCGAGGCAGGCGGTGGAACCACTGAGCTAAATCCCTGGCCCTCCATCGTTTTGAAACACACCGTGATACCATGTTCTCCCAGAATTATTTAAAGGTATGGGAAGAGCCTCCCCCAAACTCCTGAATGATTAGCACAGAGAAGCCATCTCTGCAGCCATTACTATCACATGCAGAAAAAAGTTTGGGATAAAACCCCTAAAACAACATCAAATCTGCTCCTGGGGTGATCAGGCT